TCCTTGGTGGCACCTCTATGCTGCGTCCTGAAGTGTTTGTACAAGAGCTTGGCAGTCTGCGGTAAGGCGCGGCGCAGGCTAGCCACTTGCAGGAAAGCCATGGAAGGAGGGAAATTGAGATATATATATATATGTTTCTGTCTATGTGTGCGAGTGCGCGCTTGCAGTGCCCTGCGAGGAGGATGTGCCTTTCCGTTTGCCCTCTCCTTGCCGCCATGGCACGCTTTATGTGGAGCCCGTCGTTTGCTCTTACTGGCGGCGTGGCCCAGTTTTTGTCTTTGCTTTCCCGCGTGCGATTTTGTGAGGTGCTTTTTTCCCCCATTACCGTGAAAAGAGCTGGTGGGGCTTCCGCGGAGCGGGTAGTTCTACAACTTATTGTGTTCTTCCATTTGCGTTGACTTGCTTCGCCGTGGCGTGCGTGTAAACTTTACTTGTGCATTCCTTCTCCTCGTGCGGCAGAAAGCAAATAGGTGGTCACCCTTTAATGTTGCGTTTGGCTCGCGTTGCCCTTCGCCGGGACCCGCTGAACGGCGGCAGTTCCATGACTCTAGGCTCAAAAGGGATGAAGCTATCGCCAGAGCCGCACCGTAAGCGCATGCCGTGGACAGCCGCAAAGGAATATGTCCCCGGCGTCGTTCTCAACGCGAAGGAGAAGATGGTGTTGGATGGTGTTCAATTGGTTGATGTGGATAACATCGACCGTGGCTCGCAGGTGGATCCGCTAGAAGTGCTGCGGGCGACAGTGGCCACCTACGAGTATAACACATCGACGGGAAAGAACATCTTTCAGTTGGCTTCGCAGGCTGAATACAGTGGTCGCGGGCAACGGTTTTACCGCAAGGAATGGCAAGAGGGGACGTACGACAAGTATGTCACGCTCTCCGCTATTGATTTTAGCCGCGACGGCAACAAGGGGACTGCGTACGGGTATGTGACATTTCACGGCGAGACGACGACGCGGCCTGTGCAGATAGACTTCGCGGACGTTCCGGGGTGGCAAATGGAGTTTGCGGCAGAACGTGCCGTTCCGTTCAGCGCGATTGTTCCCCCGCCCCCGAGCATCGGGACCGACGTCCCTGTCGACCCGCGCTCCTACCGCCTGAAGGCGTATCCGTTTTACGACGCGCCGAATCCAAGCGAGTTCGCGGAGCGCCTGCTGAAGGACCGCGGGGTGCTGCCCGACGCACCGCTCGAGGCCGCGCTCCCCCGCGACGACCCCGCGCAAGACGACGGCTCCACCCACCACGCGAGGGAGTAGTAGGCGCGGGCGGGCTCGACCCGCTTTTGTGCGCGACGGCGGTGGTCGCTGTGGCGTTTGTTGTCCCCGCTTTTGTTTCTCCCCCCCCCCCCCGCTCGCGTCCCCCGCCTGCCTGCCGCGCGCCAACCCGACCCCCGCAGTTTTCTTTTCTTTTGTTTCTTCTTCTCGTTTTTTCGTAGCGGCCCCCGGGCGTCTGGCAAGCATGCATCCTTCTTCTTCCGCCGCCGCCTTCTCTCGGGGGCCGCGGCGGGAGTTGCGGACCCGCCCCGCCGTGCGGGGGAACGCGCCCCGGGGTTTGGCGGGGGGGCGGCCGCACCGGTTCGGCCGGGCCCCGCGGGGGGTCCGGCGGCGCGGAAAGGGCCACCAGCCCGACGCATTCGCTCGCGGCCGGTGTCGTGTTCCCGGCTCCGTCTTTTTTTTTGTTCGTTTCAATACTGTGTTTTTCCGTCTTTTTTTTTGTCGCTGCGCTGGTTGCGCCCTCTCGGCGTTCGCCAGTTCGGCTGCAGTTAGCTAGGGTTAAGGTGCAGTAGTTTGTTTTGAAAGCCGTCGGCCTGCCCCAGGATGCCGGCATTACGGGTCACGCTTTGCCAGATGGCTGTCGCGAAATCGAAGGAGACTAACCTTTCGAAAGCTGTGGGAATGATAACAGCAGCAGCAAAACGAGGTGCAAACCTCGCCGTTCTCCCAGAATGCTTTACGTGCCCCTATGGCACAAAATATTTTGAAGCATATTCTGAAGAAATAGGACCGGGATTTCCTACATACGATGCAATTTCTAAAGTCGCCAAGGAAAACAATATATGGGTAATAGCCGGCAGCATACCGGAACGCTCAGGTGAAAAGTTATACAATTCCTGCATCGTTTTTGATGCAACGGGGAAGTTGAATCATGTACACAGAAAAGTGCACTTGTTCCGCATCAATACGGAGACTGTCCGAATGGATGAAGAGGAGGTGCTTTCTCCTGGAAATGTGGTTGTTCCTGTTTCCATGAATGAAAAACTGAAATTTGGTATTGGAATTTGCTTTGATGTAAGGTATCCTCTTCTTGCATGGAAGTACGCCCACGAAGGAACTTCATTTTTGGTTTATCCAGGTGCATTCAATATGGTTACGGGTCCGTTACATTGGGAACTTTTAGCCAGAGCGCGTGCTGTGGATAATCAACAGTTTGTTATTTTGTGTTCACCCGCGCGTGACTTGAGTGCGGACTATGTTGCTTGGGGTCATTCGATGGTTGTGGATCCTATGGGAAAGGTAATTGCCGACGCAGGGGAACATGAAGGCTACATTGATGCTGAACTGGATCTTGATTTAATTGAAGAGGCAAGAGAAAAGATTCCTATTATGGATGGAACAAGACATGACATTTATGCATTGAATTGGAAATAAAATCTATCTTGCATTTTTTTCTTGTTTTGCCTCCTGGATGTGTGAGTTTTTTTTTGTTTCTATGCTTTTCTTTTGTTTGGGTTTCGCGATTAGTTATATATATATATATATAATATAGGATGAATATTTCATTTGTTTAAGACGCTTTTTTTATTTTACTTGATTTTCTAAGATTTTTTCGTGGTATCTAAGGTCATTTCTATTTTTTTTCCTCTTAATACGCGTATCTGCTGTGCAAGACGGCTCTTGATCATACCATTGATGAATGCGTGTCTCGGCCTTCTTGCATCGCTGAAGTAAAAGTGTATTTGATATGAATCTTGCCTCCCCTCCATCCTTTTTTTTGCTTCGCTTGTTATCGTTGTTTTCATTGCTATACTTTATGGTTTATTCTTGTTTTTCTTTTTCTTGTTAATTCTTCTCAGCAGGAATGTATCGTCAGTTGTGCTTAGCGGGGGGGATTGGGCGTATTTTGCCCACCGCCCTGCGCCAGTGCCATTTAGATGCTGCAGACAAACTTGATACCGCACGCGATAGTTCTAAAGTGACTCTTGGAGTCCGCGAAGCTGAAATTGTCAGTGAAACAAAAAATCTTCAAGAAAATGTCCCAGATTCTTTAGGCGATATTGAAAGCCACGATGTGCATTCAGTTTCGGAGAAGGAAAATTTCTTTGCGGAAATGAATAGGCTTCAGTATTTTTTTTCACAGGAGGGTCCCTATCTTGGTTCACGAAAAAAGGATACAATGGAGCACTCTGTGGATAATCGTCGTCGCCGTCATATTGTCCGCGTGCCTCAACCAGAGTGCGAGTATCGTCCTAACGAAACGTCTTTTCGAAGGTTGCCCAAAAATACGCGCATTCCCAACGAATATGAACTTCGTGCATTATACCCACAGAGCACAGGCCTTACCTTAATCGAAGGAAAAGCTGATTGTGTTGACCATAATGCATTTGGTCCGGATGAAGATCCAGCACCAATGGCCTACAGTATGGTTACACCTCCAGATTGGTCTAAGGAAAGAGAATATCCATATATGGTGGTACTTCCTGACCATAGAGGTATTCCACGAGATTTTGAAGATGTATGTGCCAATTTTTTTGAACGCCCTGTGCATCGTGAATTGATGCTTGAACAAAGCTGGGTGATCATTTCTCCAATTATTAACCTTCGTCATAACTTTCAGATTCCTGTGGAGGCGATAGTAGCTCGCTTTTGTGACTGGGTTACTGAGAACTTTAACGTTGAGCATCGACGAGTGCATTTGTTTGGGAAAGGCAATGGAGCGTATGTGGCTCTTCGGACAATCATGGAACACAAGGAGGTAGCAATTAGTGTGACAGCCATATTAGGCCGATCAGGAACACCTTTTCGCCCCTTAGACCGTCCTCAAGAGAAGGTGCGGAACTTCAATGGGGTGCATTCTTTGGTATTTGTTCCGGGCCTCTTGCGAAAACAAGACTGGTACTATAAATTTAAGTTTATGATGGATATGGCACGCATCAGACCGGCTTTGAGAAATGTTCACTTTGCAGATGTTAGAGATCAACAGGTTTATTATGCCATTAATCCCTATGAATTTTGGAACCACATGAGGTACTTTCGTCAACACAATATCAAAATGGTGACGGAGGGAGGCTATTGCGTTCAATGATGAACTCCCTCTCTCTTCTACTTTGTCTGTGGTCCGCTCGCACCTCGTCACCAGCGTCCCTCTTTTTTGGTAGTATGACTTGTGCTCTTGCTTCATTGGTTTGCGTTTGTGTGTGTGTGTGTTTTTGTTTTGTTTCAGTGACTCGTTTTTTTTTGTTATTTCGGGCGCACAGCAACGAAAAACAAAAAAAAATATAAAAAAAACAAGTGGGAGGGGGGGGGGAGGTGAAACAACA